CATGGTTAGAATGTATTAAAATGTAAGATCATAAAACAAACACATAATTTTAAAAGCACATTTTGATTCTCATATTTGCTTAGAGTATTTGTCCGAGTTCTGGGCATCTATTGTTCTTCTTTAGCTGTAACCGAATCAAACTCAGCACATTTTGCTTGTCAGGCAGGCACTTAAACCACTGAGCTATATCCCCAGCCCTCATCTATTTTTTTTGTTTTTAATCTCAGATGTATTACCCAGAGATGAAGGTCCTGTCTACTCCAAACATAAATGGGTTAGTGGCTGTCAAACACAGACCACTCCTTAAATAATACAACAGAGTATTGTGATATATTCTAAAATTATAACCTCTTACAGATATATTGAGTGCTCTATTTAAAAAATTCTTACAGTAAATGACATGTTCCCAGTAATTCTCTCCCCAAGATAATTAATGTCCCTTGCTTTGGACACACTTATCTTGTCTTTCTTGCCAGTTTCTGAAGCAATTCTAGAAGTTCTTTTTCTTGAGTTTCTTCATGAAGTCTGATTTAAAAAAATACAGTGACTGCTGCTGCCAAGTGACATCCAAGGGAAAGGTAGCCTGGTAAGACACGGTGTGTCCTCATCTACCTTATTCACCCCCTCTGTCACCACACGACTCCTGGCTCTTCCTCAAAATCAAAACGACCGCGAAAGGGAAACATTTGAATCCATGCAGGACACTGTGCAGCCTGCACAGTGTAACTAGAAAGACTTCCGGAAATGCTTCACAAAGTGGCAAGCATAATGGGATAACCATGTTGGAAATGAGGGGACGGGGCTGGGGAGACAGCTCAGCAGGATAAGCGCTGGCCTGACAAGTGCAAGGGCCCAAATTCAATCCCCAGTTCCGTAAAAAAAAAAAAAAAAAAAAAGGAAATGAGAGCACGTGTTTTGAGGGGGATTAGTGGCATCTATCTATATGGCTATGTATGTATGTTCATCGGGATATGAGCAGAGGCAGGAGACACAGAAGTCCCTCAGAAGGGTCACATCTTTTATTGAGTCATATTTTGCATCTTCACTTCCTCAGTTTGGAGAGAAATGCTTTTCTTGTCCTCTTCTTTGCCTTTGTCTCTGGAAAGTGGAAGGTAAGTGCTCACCAGGGGTCAAAGTCACCGGCAGGGTGAGCTGCGGCTGCCCCACGGGCTCATCCCCTTGCTTGGGGCAGTCTGTCGCTTCCCGTCCTGCCGGCTCCAGTCCTGCGGAGCCCAAAGGTGGTCCCCGAGCCGCCCAAGCCCGGCCGAGGTCCCAGCCCAGAGGCAGAGGCCCAGGCGGAGCGGAGCGCGCAGATGGCTCACTTCCGAGCCAGGTTCCGCGCGGGTGCTCGCCAGGTAAAGCGGGAAGCTGAGGAGGGACTGGCCTGGGCCGAGAGGAGAGAGAGACACCTGGGCGTAGTAGGCCTGCCTTAAGGGCCCTCAGCGCGCCTGGCTGCACCAGTGCCTTCCAGGTCAGAGGCCTGCCCGCCCCTAAGTCCTCCCCCTGCGCCTTTGAGATACAAATCTGCACTTTAGGAGCCTCGCCAGGGCCCTATCCTTTTGCACTGGCTCGCTGGACTTTGGCCTCCCCTCATGCTGTAGTCTTGACCACTGCTGCCCTCACGTCTGCAATGCTGTAATTTCTCTTTGGCACCTCTGAGCAGAGGAGTACAGGCCCGGCAGGAAAGAAGCTAGTGGAGCTGCAAGAAGTGCAAGCGTGAGTGAGTGCGTGCGTGCGTGCGTGCATGTGTGCGTGGCTGCGTGCGCATGCGCATGTGTGTTGCCATCCTGATTTGATTTTGGAAATCCTCCACCAAATTGTACAGTGAGATTGTAGTTAGTGGATTCGTGGCATTTAAGTCTTGCAGACTTGAGCTCCACTTCTATATCTTACCTCATGTACTATTTAGAGTGTTTTTTAGTCTTCTTCAGTTTCTGCCTCTGTAAAATGGGAATAGTATATCTATCTCATTATGAGGATAATTAAACTAATATATGTGAACTTTTCATTAAATATTGGTACAATGCTTATTACTGTCTCAGTGTAAGGCCTATAGCTGTTCTTCTTGGGACATGCGAAGAAGGCAGATTGGTTGTCCTGACAACTGAATTCCTCAATGTGTGCCCTGTTGGACCTATTAGTGTTTTGTGGGACATGGTGAGGGGTGACCCAGCCGGCTTCTCAGTCCCTCCTAGTGCTAGAATTGTGTGGTCACTTTATCACAATGTTCTGCCCATTTCCTGCCTTTCTGGAAAATATGAAGTACAGTGATGACTGGGGAGGATCAGCCCAGTGGCTTCTGAGCTTCAGAAGAGCACAGCTGGCCAGGCTGCGTAGGCTGGAACCTGAGTGAACACAGTGCCTTGCCAAGGCTGAGTCTGCTAGCTGGCAGCTCTGGTCATCTGGAATCAGAGGGACGATCCCAGAGTCTTTATGTCTTTATGCACCTGCATAACTCCCACCCGAGGTAGTCCCACCCCATGGCATACAAAGGTCTCGCAACAATTTAAGGGCTTCAAAGACTAACTCAGAACTCCTCTAACTCTGGAAGAGTTGAGCCCCAGGAGGTTGAATGATTTGTTCAAGTTAGTGACAGAGTTGGGCTTCGGAACACAGGTATCTCTGCTTCCTTTTCCCTCACTTTGTTTGAGGGAGTTAATTAAAATTGCGTCCATATTTCTTTTTCTTTTTTTTTTTTTTTTTAAAAACTATGTTCAAAAGTTCCCTGTTTATAGCAGTAGCAGCTGAGATTACAGTAATATTTTCAGTTTCCACAATCCCCAGAATGATATAAATTTGCACCACCTACGAAGTGACTTGAAGTTTGCTGTGTGGGAGGTGGGGATGGACTAGAGGAAGTAGAGGGGGCGGGAGAGAACTTGTAAATGCATTCTCCCTGCTTGATTCCATCTCTAGTTAATGCTTTTAGAATATATATGATGACTCAGGAATAATTTGCATTCAGGGGCTGATTCTTTCATTCAACACTTAACTGCTGCCTCCTCTGTGCTCCATACCACACAAGGTCGAAGTCACAGATAGTCAGCACCTGTGGTCTGCAGGGGGCTCCAGAGCAAGGCTGCAGTTACAGGAAATGGTCATTATTAATGTGAGACCATTAGTTTCCATTACTGTAAATCTTGGCTATTATTGCTTTTGCCAATGCACATGACCAGCATTTTTTTTTTCAAATATTTTATATGAATGTCTACAAAACAGTACTGAATTATTGTGGACCGATCAGGCCCACGACCTTCCAAACAAGTGCGTGGTGAAGGCTTAAATAAAGGAGGCAAGTGGTATAATTTTAGGGCACCGGGAGGATCAAAACGCTTTAGCAGAAATCAGGATTCTCTGGGAACTGAGACAAAGAATGTCCCTGGATGGCCTGTATTTATTTGGCTTTAACACAAAGGAAGCAGGTACTGAGGAAAGCGCAGGAACTGAGCAGGACCTTGGGAGTAAGGTCAAAGATTTTCCCAAATAGTACATTGTGCCAGTCAGGGGAACTAACTTATTTCTAGATTCACATTTACTTCAGGAGAGTGGAGCCTGTAGCTGCAGTCTCTAGTAAGTTGGGGGTGGAACCAGGGGTCTTGTCGCGCGCGGCCTTGCCAGCAAGGAAGACGCAACCACTGGTTGTGTCTGCGCAGCTTTTATTGCCCTGTTACATCAGCCTTCTTCCTCCTCGAGGCCCCTGCTCTTAGCTTATAAGTCTCAGGGCTTCCAACCATGGGGCGCCACGTGTGTACCGTCCATTGGTCCAGGTACGGAAGCAATGCATTAGCCCAAGCCTTGGCCTTTTATGGAGTTGTTGATTACCAGGAGCGCTCACCCCCTGAGGGCTTGGAAGGCGGAAACCGGCGCCATCTTAGGGCGCGGTTATACGCAGCTCCCTACACTCAGCGCTGACCTTGTCTTGTCCTTTGAGTTGTCACAGTATCACAGGCTACTTCAGGCCTCTCAGCCAGGACCAGTGACTCACAGAGGTTCAATTACTGAGTCCACTGCCCATCTCCAGACAAGGGATCCAGACTCATAAGTAAACATAGAAAGCCCATCGATTAATTTTAAATCTTGCTTAGAGCCATTTTATAGTGGTCTCCATCATTGACTAAAGCTTCTTTCATTTGAGCAAAAGAGTGTAGTTTTACAAAATGGTAGTTTGTTTGATAGCTGCTGATTGATTTCGGGAGCAAATGAATTTGCTTGCAGTTCTGAGGGAATAGCGATAAATTGGTATTTGCAAAGTGCTTTCATCCATATTAGAGAAAATGTAAAACTTAGTTGGTCTGAAACGCAGTAAGATTTGAAATGCCTGTGATTATCTTCCAAATCACACAGGGAGTGCGCTGGAATGAGAAAGCAGAGTTAGACAGGGAAGAGGAGAAAGAATCTATTTAAGATTACTAAATTGCTATCTGTTTTGATAAGGTAATTGGCCAGAAAATTAAATGCACTGTGTAGAACAAAGCTGTTTTCTGTAAGCTGGTAGAGCCAAATGTCGTTTTTATTCATTAAGTACAGAAATATAAGGAAGAAATAAACAGCCAAAAATTAAAACTACAGAAAAAATACAGTCAACAAAAAGAAATAAGGCTATTTAAAGCAAATTAATACTTGCATTTGAAACTTTATTATTCAGTATAAGATTTATGGAATTACCTTCTTCCTGATTCCTCTCTGGGTGCATTCTACTCTCCAGCGTTCTTCCTTGGAAGAGACTTGCATAAACTGGAAAGAACATTCAATCATGATGCAAGTAATTTCTAATTACTAATTTTTAATCCTCAGTATGATTTAAATGACAAACTGGCTAATCTGTTGTTTTAAAATTCTTCATCTACACAATGATATTTGGGATTCAATCATCCTTTAACATTGTTTCCAGCTGTAGAGAAGAGATTTTAATTTTAGTACTTTCTTAATGGTAGAGGGCTACCCTTGATAAGAATCTGAACTTTAAGTAGAAATTTACACAGGAATTCAAATTAAGAACTCTAACTTTTGAAATCTGAACTCATTTCCTGGCATCTTGGTTAGATAATAAATGTATATGCTATTGATATACACCCCATGTTAGAATTCTTTTATTGGTTACATACTGCAAATGCAAGAGGACAAGGCAGGTATGGGTGATCTGACACTACTCCTACCAGATTTCTAAAACCTACTGTGACTGCAACATAACCAGCTTGACTTTCTTTGACAAGAGCTACCATGGATGAAGTATTCCTGGGACTAAACTCACATCAGGAAGCCCAAAAGAACATCTTGTTTGCATTCCAAGATGGTATCCTTCCTCCTTTCAGAAGCTATAATGAGGATTAAACTTCACTGTTAATCTGTCCATTTGCTTTAGTTGATCATGCTGGAAAATGCTGACGACAACTGTTGGGGGAAGACAAAAGTTGAAGGAAGTCCTGAAATTCTTTAAGGGAAGTTTAGTGAAATACATTTAAAATGATGGGATTTCAATTCCATTGATTTCAACTAACCTGTGGAAACTTGGGAAATTGCTTATTTATATTTTAGCTTTAATTTACTTACCTGAAAAGTACAGATATTATTATATCATTCATTAGGATTTTAAAAGGATACTTGGAAAAAAATTAACATCCCTGGAACATAATAAATATACAATACATGGTAATTAGTATTATTAGCATTGTCTTTCTACCAACTAATCACTTTTACATCATTTGCTTCTATTTCAAAAGAGCATTTGTGTGTCTTCAATGATAAACACAAACAATCATAAGCAAGAAAACTGGTGGGAGAAATCTGAGGAGGCACAAAATGATACAAAGCTAATGATACTTCACTAATTTTGAGAATCACCCCTTCAAAGGATAATAACTTTGATTTTTCTTCCCAACAGATATGACATCAAGGTTCTCATTGGGATGGGCAGTTTCAGCAAGGTTGTCGGGGTGGAGCAGAAGACTACCAAGAGACCTTTCACCATAAAATGATGGAAACCAGACTGAGAAAAGACTGTGAAGCATGTGAGACTGAGCTCCGCATCCTCACACGGGTTAGCCACCCTTATATTGTGCACACATGGAGATCTTTGAGGTCCAGGACTGAGTTTACCTGGTGATGGAGCTGGCCACTGGAGGGGGGCTCCTGGAGAGACTTGGTGCTCAGGGAGCATTTATGGAGCAGGATGCTGTCTGAATTCTCCGCATGGTTGCAGAGGGGATTAGGTATTTGCATGCTTTGAGAATAACACATAGGGACCTAAAGCCTGAAAATCTCCTATACTACCATTCAGGTGCAGAGTCCGAAATTTTAATCACAGATTTTGGATTTGCTCACTCTGGGAACAAAAGTGGTGACTGGATGATAAACATGTTCTGTGGGACCCCAGAGTTCATAGCCCCTGAAATTTTGCTAAGGAAACCCTATACCAGTGCGGTGGCCATGTGGGCTCTGGGTGTAATCACCTATGTTTTACTTAGTGGATCTCTGCCTTTTGATGACGAAAGCCATACAGAGCTTTACAGGAAGATTCTGAAGAGCAAATACAACTATACAGGAGAGGTAAGAGATTATTATGTCATGCCTCTGTGTTGGTGTAGAATAGTTTCTGAATCTGGGCATTGTTGATTCTCAGGGCTGGACGATTTTTTATGATGGAGAGAGAGAGGGGCTGCATTGTACATTGTAGGATGCCAAGCAAAATCCCCAACTGGCGCCCACTAGGTGCCTCTAACATGGCCTCCCCAGTTGTGAATCCCCAAAATATCACCATGCAATGTCCCTTGTAGAACAAAGTTGCTCCTAGTTGAGCACCATTGATTTCAAGTAGGCAGAGGCCTTCCTCGATTACTGAGCTGTGTGTGGCTAACACTCGACACTGATGACTGTGGAGGTCAGTGAGTTGGCGTGAAGTCTCCCTGCAGTTGGCACGCAGAGCCTGAGCTGGCTGACTCATGTTCCTCAGAAGCTCAGCATGGCGCTTGGGCGTTTGGTGACAGATTTTCTTCCTCAAATCTGAAAAATCCAAGCCCTCTTTACAAAGTAGTGTCTCCTCAGAGATGTGTTTAACTTCACAGCTTGTGTAAAATAATCATGCGTTGTTTAACTTGGAACTCCCAGTGTTCATGAATGTGTGAATTTTTTGTTGTTTTGGGAAGGAATGAAAGTTGCCAAAGCTTCGTGTAGGAAGAACAACAAAATAGAAAACTCACTTCATGTAGGGTAAATGAACAAATTTAATCTCTCATAAGAATGTTGATAGTTTGATTAAACCTACTTACAATGTAGCATGTATTTACTATACTTTCTTAAAATCAAAATGAAATAAATAAGAGTAACATTTTCATACTTTGGAAGAACTTTAATGCCTTCTTATACATGTCATTTTTTAAATTAATACAAATTAATACATGAGAACTAAAACTTAGAAAAGGGAGAGGAAAGCATGAGAATTCAGACAGTGCCATACCACTGTTTATTGAAAAATTTAAAACATGTAAGCCTCAATAATAAGCAAAGAAATGTAAAAGAAACCAAAAATACCTTTTTTTGGTCTTTCAAATTGATGAGATAAAAGCCCAGGGCTATTGGTTCTAGAAGTGTAAAGAGATTATCCCTGTCATTCATAGAAGGTACATTGTCACATGTTTCCTGAAAAGTAGGTTGAACGTGTGCATGCAGAAGTATGAACAATTTATGTATTTTCCTGGTAATTCTGCTTCTAAGAATCTGAAGAAGTAATCTCACATGCAAGTAAGGTTTCAGGGTAAGGATGTTGTTTGAGCTCTAAGACAGTGTTTAAATAAACTGTGAGAAATCCACATACTAGAACATAGTGGCCCCTATGCATATTTTAAAATTATAAGTGTATTGGAAAATGTCCAGGTAAACTGTCAAGTGGAGAAAAGTAGCAAGCTATTCTATAGCCTGTGTACTCGGTATCCTCATGTTCATGTGGGAAAATGTACACCATGGAAAAAGGCTAAGAGGAAATGTAATAGAATGCTAACCTGTATCCTGGGTTGGAAAGTCCGGATTCTTTTGGCTTTTTTCTTTATATTTTGAATATCATTATATTTTTGTTTTGGTTTCGTTTACACAGAACACATATTTCTATTTTGGTCATCTATTGTTTTGCAACAAACCATATCAAAACCTAGTGGCTTAATCCAATAACCAGTTTAGCATGACTCGGAATTCTGTGGGTTGATGAGGCTCAGCTTGTTGACTTCCTCTCACCTGTAGGGTGGCATTGTAGCCTCCTGAGCACTTGATTAGGACACAGGGCCAGTATATCACGAGGGCCCACTATAGCTTCTGACATCTTGGTGGAGGTGGCTGGAGAGTTGGGTTGACTAGGTCACAGGGACTGCATATTGCTTCTTTTTGGCCTCTCTGTGGTTGGCAGGATCCCATTTTCTCCATGAGGCTTTCCCAGCAGGGAAGCCAGACTTCTTACATGGCATTTATGGGCTTATAAAATGGAATCTTTGAGGCCAGGGAGATAGTTCAGAAGAATAATCACTTCCCTGGCAAGCTCAAGGTCCTGAGTTCAATCCCCGGTTCTGCCAAAAAAAAAAAAAAAAGGAATCTTTGGCCATGGATATTGTGGTTGGCTCCAGATCACTTTGGTCACATGCAGTCAGTCACATAATGTGGTTACTGTGGGCAAGGTCCACTGGGCTCTATGTATGGACCAGAGCTCTCAATTACTTTCTTTAATGGGAGAAGATGAATACATTTTGTTGAAAAGGTTTAATTTTGGATGGATGCTAAGACATGCCCCAGAAGCAACCTGGAGAAGATGGTTCATGTGCTCCTGATTTACTCTGGGTGGGTGGCTAGAGAGACAGGTGAAGAAGCAGCGACCGGGAAGTGGAGGTAAAGGAGGAGAGGAGGCTCAGGCCAAAGTGGGCCAGCCTCAGGCAGCAGAGGAGCTACTTCCTGGCAACGTTCAGAGGCAGAGAGCCAGGTTTTCACACTCACACTTATCCATTGGTGAGGGCATTGTTGGTGGTAAATCTCCAGATTTCAGGATCAAGCCAAAGTGAAAAAGGTGGTGCTAGGTTTTAGAAGCTAAGCGCATCAGTTAAAAACTGAGCACACCTCCAGAGAAGTGGACATGAGAACTGACACTTTCTCCACTCGAGGAGCCCCGAGGCCCCCAATGGAGTCCCAAGGCCCCCCACTGTCTGTTTCTTGGGCTCATTCCTGTCTGTAGCTTCAGAGTAGCAACAATACACACTGCAAAGTGGTAGTGTGACACCATCATGTGACACTGGATATATATTCCCTTGACTCTCTTCCCTGCATTTGTCAGGCACATATGTCTGTTGTATTAACTGTCATGTTAACATCTTTTAATGTTATCAAACATTTTATCTTAGGTTTCCACAACAAATGGCACACGCTGAGCAGCATAATGAACAGACACTCACTTCTTACAGTTTTGGAGGCTGCAAAAACCCAAGATCAAAGTACTGGGAGGGTAGGTTTTATTGTGAGGCTTCTTTCTCATGGATTTACCCTGAGTACATACGATTTGACCTTAGGGTGCTCACAGAAGGAATGAGAATGAGCCTCTCTTCTGTAAAAAGAGTGACTGGGCATGATGGGACGTGTCCAAAATTTCAGGACTCTGGCAGGCTGAGGCAGAAGACACAGACACAAGTTCAAACCCAATCTGAGCAACTTAGTGGGATACTGTTTTGAAATAAAATTTAAGAAGGCAGGAAGTATAGCTCTCAGGGTGAGTGTCCTGGATTTAGTCTGCAGTACCACAAAAACAATGGACGAATGAATGAATGAACAAATAAACAAGCAAACACTAATCCTATCAGGTGATGGCCCCACTTTTAGCTTAATTTTAGTTACTCTCTTTTTACTTTCATTATGTCCTTTGTAGGCTCACCTTCAAAAAACCATATTTGGAATTAGAGCTTCACTGTGTGAGTTGTGGATGTTCAACAGTGTTCAGTTCAATGATATAGGAAAACTATAACTCCATTCCTATGAGATGTCAGAGGTGCTGAGTTTGTGGTCTCACAACATCAAGGAATGAAGTTGTGAACCAAAGGAGGAAGTTAGAAGAGTTTCATTGGATATAAGGAGAACAAGAATAGTTCCTAGATTTCCAGGAGGGGTCCTAAATAGATGGTCACTGAGCCCCTTGTCCAGGGTAATTTATACAGCAAAGTTATAGTAGGAGTATGACATGGGTCAGACTACAATCCACTAATAGGATTACAAGGATATAGCCAATGTTGATCCAGTAGGAAAGTAAGTCAGATAATAAGGTACATGGGAAGAACAAAGCTCTGGGGGATGGCAGGCTAGTACGGGTCCATATGTCCTGTCACCCACCTGTGTGTCTGATGCCCATCAGGGCCCGCTGGACCGGGTAGTGCTTTTTATAGCATCATCTTGAGTTGCTGTGTATCTTGTAGGACCGCCTGCTGGTCTGCATCCTGAAGTGTGGATCTCTTTAGCTTTGTCTCCAGCCACAATTCTGATGTCTGTTTTTTGTGCCATCTTTCCTGAAGCCACAGTCCTTCTTTGACGGTATATTATTTTTTAATCCAATTTAGCTGACTGTATTAATAACATCAAGGAATTGTATGTTGGGAGACTCAGAAAATTATAATTTTTTTCTGTTGTCATACTATTATATACTTAGGACTTATGGACAAGCCCAGTAATTTCAAATTTATTTATCTATTAGAGTAACTATTGATTCTGGAAACACAGACATAGTATAATATTGGATTACACAACCAGTTCTGTGTTCACTAAACATTGGTCATTTAAAAAAATTCACTATATCTCTGCATTTATAAAATAGTAGTAATAGTGGTATCTACCTAATAAGATTGTTGTAAAGATCAACAGAGCCTAAAGAAGTGTTTAGAATAGTTGTTGATGTTGGTCTACCTAGAGTCAGTGTTACTCTTTCTTTCTTTCTTTCTTCTTTCTTTCTTTCTTTCTTTCTTTCTTTCTTTCTTTCTTTCTTTCTTTCTTTCCTTTCTTTCTCTTTTTTGGAGGAACCAGGGATTGAACTGAGGCCCTTGTGCTTGCCAGGGAATCGCTTATTCTACTGAGCCATCTCATTGGCTCCCAGTGTTACTTCTGAGTTCATTGTTTCTTTTGTTGTTACTTTTTCGTTCCCCCTTGCAGTACTGATGTTGAAGCCAAGGTCTTACCCAAGCTAAACAGGCACTCTACTGCCAAGCTACATCTTGAGCCCCTTTTAAAAATTTTTAGGGGGAGATGACTCAGTGGAATAAGCACTTGCCTGGCAAGCGCAGGGGCCTGAGTTCAACACCTGGTTCTGAAAAAAAAAAAAATTAGGGTCTTATTAAATTTCTTGTGCCTGACTCAAACTTCCCAAACTCCTGTGTTGGCCTCCTGAGTAGATGGGATTGCAGTCATATGTCATCAGCCCGTTGTTACTATTAACACAGGAAAGCAAGGTTGAAAGATTGAATATTACTGAACAAATTATTAGTTTCTTGATTTTTTTTACCAATATAAACTTCATTTTTCAAGTGCACCCGTTTTATCTTTTAAATGGAATAGTGAGAAAAGGCTAACGTTAGAATTTTAATACAAATAATAAATTATATTCAGTCTTGCCATTAAGTTTGGAATAATATATTTCTTTTATGTATTTAGTACAGGGTCTACAGGGTCTCACTACACAGATCAGACTTATAGTGATTCTCCTGTTTCAACTTGCCAAGCGCTGGAATTAGAGGTGCGCGCCACCACGCCCATTCTCAGTTGCCATCTCAGCACACCTCTGGGGTGGGGCTGGCATGTAGGCCAGGGATCAAACCCCAGTCTCTGTGCCTGCATATATTGTTATGTAACTGGATTCCAGTGGATCACAGTAGTTTTTGGTGTAAAATACTTTGATAATAAAACAAATCTTATAACCACATTAGACAAGTGACAAAGCAAAGCAGTGGTATATGGACATTGATAGACAACAGTTCTTATCTGCCTAAACTCATGTGATTTCTATACTGTTAGGAAAAAAGACTGCACACTAATGTAAAGCAGAAGAAAGATACAAGTCACAAGGTTGCCACCAATAGAGATTTATAACTAAAATCACTAGTTTTAGAAGAGTTAACTACAGTTAGTCTTTAATTCTCTCAAGCTACAAGAGTCAAGACATTCAGAAAATAAAAGAACATTCTTTAAATTTCTTTTAATCCTTCCAAGGTAGTGAGTAGTTTAGTAGCTGGTGTGAAATTTTACTTTTATTCTTTTGGGGGGATTATTGTTGTTTTACATAAATTCACCTGTTTCTTTTGGACAACACAGACAAATAGGCCAAGAAGCAGAGCCAGATGAGGAAAAGAACAAAGAAAATGGAAAAACGTCTTGAATTATCCACAAGTACTGTAATTTACTTGCAAGTAAATTAATTAAATGATCTTTGGATAGATAAAAGAAAATTCTACATTAACTTTCACATGGTTTACTACCTCTTAACCCAGGACAACTACTAATTCTTGTCCCATTCCATGCTGTTATTATTATTTTGTGTTCTGTTTATTAAATCCAGAGACTCTCATATGCTAGGCAAGCACACTGAACCACTCTATGTGGGCTTTTAATTTTTTTTGGAGGGCTCAGATTTACCATAGTAGTAATATATAGAATTGGTCTGAGGAGTACTGGGTAAGTTTTCTATTCCATTTCTCTAGATATAATCAGTAAATGTGTCCATGAAAGAACCGAGGAGAATGGTATGAGGGTTTAGTAATAATGAAAGTGGTAATAATAGAGACCTGCATATTTTATTCTTTGAATACCATTTTTCTACCCTTGATTTGACGCAATCCTAAGGAAGCTCTTATGAAAGTGATGAGGGAGAAACTGAGACCCTGGGGTTGTGGCACTGTGTGTAGCTGGCCAGCCTGGCCAGTTCGGATATGCTGACCCCCATCCCATGGCGCTGTCCCTTACTGAGGGGCTGACGGGCTGAGCCAGGGCAGTGTCGACTGCTGACAAAAGCCACACCAGGGTAAACTTTTAGGTAACAGCGAAGGCTGAGCCTGTAAGGAGAAATAATGAGCAAGTCTTTGTCCAACAGTGAAGGCTACAGTGGACACTGAACGATGTCTTTGGGTGATGGGTGGTAGGTACAGTGGGAATCTGTGTGTGGTCTCCTATTGCTTTTGGTCATATAACATTAGTAGCCAAAATTTTGGAGTGTACACACACAGCTTTTGTCCATTTGTAGGATAAGTACATACATACACAATAGTTTTTTACTTTACTAAACATGAACAAAAATAAATTTTGGATTAAGTAGATAAAACTAAAAATAAAATGGAAGCTCATTTTCTTCCCATACCTTCCTTTTTCTAATATATAATGTGAAATGGACTCATAGGCACCCTCTGTTTGTTCTTTATGGCTCAAGAATTCTGTAATTTATAACTGATTTTTGCATAATAGGCTTTGGCCGAAGAACTTTTCCCCCAGCACACTGGTTAAATTATTTTCCAAAACTGCATTTTAAAGTACATTCATTTAGTGTCAGTTTCATGAGCTCCCCATAAACTCTGCTGTACATATTTTATACTTTTTCCAGATAGGTTCAGTTGCTAGTCTTAAAATATTACATTGGAGACATCTAATTCAGCCTTCATTTAAATAGTCTTGGACCCAGGTAAGTGTGTCTGGCCCAGGACTGAGGAGATGTCCCAGGATGGGCGGGTATGGTGGCATGTTGGGCCTATATATGCTTGGCCTCAACTTGCAGGTTTGCACCTTATTTTTCTCATGTTTGAGTATTTGACCTATGTATTCATCTATTTTATAACACTTGTGTTGGGGATAAACATCCTTCGTATCTCATTTACCTAAACTGAAGGCAAAAAACAAAAGGAGTAACCCCTTTGAATACTGCTTTCTCGTTCAAATTCTAAGTTAACAGATGCTAAGAGGGTGGAGTGTGCTGCGTGTATGCCGGAGTCTGATTTTTTTTTTTTTTCCATTACTCAAGGGCAGAGATAATAGATTGTCAGGACTCTCTTTCCTAGACACAGAATTTTTTTTTAAAAAAACATAATACTCAGAAATTGTGTTTTACATACAGGGAAAGTATAAGCAATTTTCTCGTTTTTATAGAAAATAGATAGAAAACCTTAGGGCTCTTTTCCCCCCAGGTTTGTGTTATGGGCTGTTTGTAGGAAGCTTTCTTCCCTCTCCTGAGCCAAACTGAGAACCTGAGAGTGCTGTGCAGGCTTCAGTTCTGAGCTGTCTCCTCAGCTCTGTGTGTTGGTAGGAAGTGCAGAAAAGTTGAGGTATGAAGCAGCAGCCCTTTTCTGTCCCCGTCTTTGCGGTTGCCACTGTGCATTGCTCCTGTTGTACTCAGAGACTGTGCAGCTGCTGTCACGATGACAAAGTGACTTGGTGAAACGCCAAAGAGCTAGTTGCGCGCCTTGGCAGGGACCACGGCTCTGCCACTAGCTGAGTCCCGGCTGCATGAACTCTTTGGGCTCAGAGGCCCGTGTGTTAGAAGAAGGGAGGGCCTGCTCTGCTGGATGGCCTCTTGTGCTGCTTCCTTCCTGCTGTGGAGATGGTGGTGTCTTGAGTTGTGAGGAAGCTTTCAAAGGGGAGAAAAGTCGATGACTCTTTGACCTAGGCTGCTTTCCACTCTACCTGATTCTCGGAATCACAGGGGCGAGCAGCGTGGGGAGACGCTAGCCTGATGCAGACCGCACAAAGCAGCTGCACTTCCCAGCGCAGGCCCTGCAAGTAGGATGTGGGATGCTCACAGCCAACAGGAGCACGCTGGGCAGACATCTGGCGAGGAATTCCCATTCACTGGTCAGAGAATTTCCATGTTTTTCTTTTGCTAACAAGATCCTTTTTCAGCTCTCAAAGGTAGTTTTTCAGATTTGCTAGATATTATAATAACACAGTGTTCGAATTGCTTGTTGGAAAAGTCTTTTGGACTTGGCAGGCACTGCTTTATTTGTAAATATGAATCTATCTGTGTGCTTTAACTTAATTCATTTGATATAGTCTTATTTATTTATGTGTCTTCGTAGCCGTGGCCAAACATTTACCATTTGGCAAAAGGCTTTATAGACAAACTGCTGATTTTGGAGGCCAGTCATCGAATGTCAGTGGGCCAGGCCCTGGATCATCCCTGGGTGATCGCTGTGGCGGCAGGCAGGGGCCTCCGTGAAGAATCGCCAGAGAATTGCCTCCCGGAACCTCACGTGGAGGGGTGCTCCCCACTCTCAGAGTCCTGCATCTGCTCAGTCCTCTAAGTCATGTTACTCTCACAAATCAAAACCAATGTGGAGCAAAACAAGCTTAAAGACAGCGGAAACATCTCTCTCTGCGCTTCTGTAAGCAGATGACCTCTAGGTTCATTTTATGCAACTTTAAACCCGATCTGCTAACTTCACTAATAGCGTTCCGTCAGGAGGGACCATCTTGTTGCGGGTTACGGCAGCCTAAGTTGCTGAGGACTTGGGAGCATGTCATTACTTTTGAATAGTATTGACATTTTTGTTGGTTGTGTTTAGTCCTGGGGTTTGAACTCAGGGCCTCATACAAGCTCAACAGGTGTCTAGTACTGAGCTGTACCCTAGCTCTTTTAGTTTTATTTGTGAGACAGAATTGCAACCCAGGATGGTCTCCAATATGTGATCTTTTTGTCTCTACCTCTCAAGAATCTGGGATTATATGCATGCACAGCCACTGTGCCTGGATTTATGCATCATTATTTTTAACATGTTTTGGCCTCTTGTTTACCCTGTACCTATATTTATTTCCTAAAATTGTAATGCTGCAAAAAGATCTATGCTCATTTAGATCACTGGAAACAGTTGGTGAAGAAAAGCTCTGAAGTTTTGAATGGACTAAATAAGATACAAGGTTTTAAGAGTAGGAGAAGAATATGTGGTTAAATATGGGAATAAATTTATTTATCTTGAAATCACTGATCTTTGTTTAAGATCTGGTGTTTGCCCTTAGCTACAAGACACTCAGGAGAGTTAGCATCGTCTGTGAATAGTGTGTGTCTGCAAATCTGCAAATATCTATGGACAGCTGTGATTTATAGGACATATATAAAGAACCATGTGGTACAGTTTATCTCCATTAGAAACACTACTGGGGACACTATTGAAGAATACAGTTTGCAAAATTAGACAATAGTCATTTTTTCTGGTGCTAGCACTCATCACTCACTAGAGCTTATGAAAAGTATGTGATCATTTTACTTCTTTTTGCTACTATTAACGATTTCTGATTAGCACAATTCTTCTGTAATTATTTAATATAATGCCTTGAAGACTCTACATGTCCTCTTTGAAATAACTCTAAATAATGCATTAAAAGAGGTAAACTCCAAAGCCCAGTCTTTCTAGCAAGGCACCTATAGCCTGACCCCCAGTACGTTGAGGGCTATTGTATATAATTTTTGGGGAAAAATCATTTCATAACTGAATTGTGATTAGAGCTTGTCTGAGGCCTTGGGCTCTGCCAAGCAAGCCAGCTCTGGTGTGTAGAAACACCACGCTGTGCCTAGGTTGGAGCTGAGGCCGCCACAGTTCCGTGACACCGTGCTGCTTCAGGGCAAGATTACATCAACTGAAGACATGCCAGATCTTGGAGAACCAAGTAGTAATAAAAAAAGGTTTCCCCTGGGAGGAAGGACAAACTGATTAACCTGTCCTCTCTGCCACAGTCCTCACCAACACAAAACTCTCAGTTTGAAGTCACCGCAGCCCTCTGAGTCACCCAGAGTGATCTTTGCGCAAGACCTTCTCGTGTAAGACCACACTGTCCTCTTAGGTCATCTGGTAATCCCCTCACCATTTTCCTCAATGCAAATGTGATCAATAAACACCAAGGTTCTGGCTGCCTCGTGGCCATTTTGGTCCCCCATGAACAACTGGTCATCCCGGATCCCTGTTGTGTCAACATCAGTCTCTTGCCTTTTTGCTGTGCACGGTACCACTTTGCAGGAGTTTGGGGTCCACTGCAGGGGTCCCTGATGCTAATACAGTACATTTTTATAAAATGATGTAAAGACTGAAGTATTATTATGTCTGTGGATCACGTTATATATGAATGAACACAGTAAATAAATGATACATGTGTTGATACTGCTTTATTTATTTTTAAATACAACAACAAATTGCTAGGATGATATTTACTATAACAAGAAATTCACTGTGAATTTTTTTCTTTTTCCTTTTTAGGTTGTATATTTGGAATAGCTATCTATAAGTCTATATGCTATATGCTAAATATGTCTATATTCATAAATATGAATGTATAATTATTACTTTTTAAATTGCCATGCTGTATCACATATGACAGATGATGGATTACTTTCTTTAATGTAGAAAAAACATTTCCAAATTCTTAAGAAAAATAACACCAAGTGGGAAATATTTTGACAGGTGGTTCATAAAAATACAGATGGCTAATAGCATGAGAATGGTCAATTTCACTCATGATTTATAAAATGAAAATTAAAACAAGAAAGAGGTAGTATTTTGTCACCTATTAGATTAGAACTGTTTCTGAGTAGGACATGCATATGGTGGAGGCCTGCAGGCAGGCAGGTGCTCATATACCTTGCTTAGAAGCATTGAATCTGGTATCACTGATGAGGAGGATAGATTAGCAGCAATATCTATTTAAATTAAAAATGCCTTGGCCTTGACCTTACAGTGGCATTTCTAGAAATTGTCCTGCACATCTTCTTACAAAAGTGTGTGTGTGTGTGTGTGTGTGTGTGTGTGTGTGTGTGTATGGAACAATACATAAACATTGTTACATATATAAGCAGGAATCATGTGACTGCCTGGCAACAGGGCAGCCAGCATGCTGCATGGAGCAAAGGGAGAGCACTTACGTAGCTGTCAGAAATCACGTGGTAGGTCTACCTATCTGGTTGTATGCTATTTATAGTAAGTGACTAAGCAAGAGGCGAGGAGTACTGCAGTGTGCCATTCTGGTGTATGCAAAAGAATAGCTTCAGGAGTTTGAAAGATTGGCAAGAACTAGATAAAGACAGTGGTTATTACTGGAGAAAAGTAGAAAGTTTTGGGCAAGAGGAAAAGGTTTATTTTTCACTTTATACTTATTTCTACCTTGAGAACAATTTTAATTGGTATATTTGGTTTAAGCCTAAAGTTCAAGGCAAATCCAACTAAAAATGCAAATACTAAGGGGAAGCAACTGTCAAGGGAGAAGCTGGAATCAGCAGTCCTACAGGAATTGAGGATTCACTAGGCAGATGTGAAAACTGATTTTTATTCATTGAATAGTTTATATATTTGTCACTTGAATTTTTTAGACTTAAAAATCAAAACTTATAAATAAGTTTCTCTTTTTATGTATGTAGTACAGGGTCTCACTGTACTGTGTGGACTTACAGTGGTCCTCCTGCTTTCAGCCTCCTCAGTGCTGGGATTACAGTTGTGCACCACCACACCCAGTCTTGATGGCCGGCTCAGCATGCCTAGGGGTGGGGCCAGCACATCAAGGGATTGAACCCTGGTCCCTGTGCTTGCCTAAGCAGGCACTTAGTCCTCTGAGCTATCTTGCCAGCCAACAAACAGGTTTCTATAAAAATATTTGATATGAGGATGAGATAGGTCCTCCAAATAATCCAAGTAATATAGGGGAAATATCGTAACTTCCAACCTGCTAGATGTCTGATGTGCTAAGTTCATGTTCCCCAAAATTGAATGAATTCTAAGGAACAATGGAGGGTAGGAGCAAGGCATAGCTATCGAGGGAAAGGCAGCTTCTGTCTAAGGCAGACAGAGGGGGACTGCAAAGTGAGGGCAAAGGAGCCCAATTCCCAAAAGAAATTTTACAGAGTAAAATCACAAGGTGGGTATGAAAGAGTGAGGTGGGACAAAATCATAGAGTACAAATCTAGTCCCTTAGGCAATATAGATCCAACGGGGAAGCAAGCCATGCAGCAAGTGTGCATGGAAAGAACAGGACCTGCCCTGGGAGGGCTGTCCCACGCCCTGGCCCTCACCAAGTGGTTGATGGTTATTCAGTGTAGCAACCCTTGCTGTTTGTCCCTAGGGGAAGCACGCAGGTACAGACATTCTGTCTTTGTCTTGAGGTCCTGCCTCCAACAAAGGCCCTTCCACCCATAGCTGTATCTTCTGCACTCGCTCCTTAGGGAGCCTATCTCTCTCAGTCTGCCTATAATACTTCTAACTTAGCAGTTCATAATATATTGCTATAAATATAATTTATAATGCTAATACTTTCTGATTTCTCACATGATTGGAGAATAGTTTAAAAAAGAAAAGATCATGTAATTTTGTCCTTAAACTTACTTTGTTCCAAGCAACATGCTGAGTTATTTTTCTTTTGCAATGGATAAAGTGTAGCTTACTTTTTCAGTGAACTATTATTTAGAATACAGAGAAAGAAAATCCTCTCATTTGTAAAAGTAAAGATCAACTAGGAGATCTTTAAGTAAAAGTTGTCAGAGACCAATTAAACTGTGATCATAGTTGTATTTGGAATCCAAAGTTGGCAACGCTGCAGACTATGGCACGCAGTGGTGGCTTTGGGGGAGGGCTTGGTGAAATTGAGACCTTGCTTATGAGGCTTAATGTTTCCTCTGTGTGCTGCAAAACACCTTGAGGTCACGTGGTGCTTACCTGACCAGGGTAGTGTCCCCTAGGCACTTGCCTTTGCTAAGCTAGTGGCTTTTAGGATTTCTCCCCCCACATACTTGAAAGATTAGCTACATATGCTAGCTAGTGGGGTGTGGTAGTCATTTCACAATGCAATCATATTTGAAAGCGTTTCATTATATATGTTAAGTATGTTTTATCTACTATAATTATGCTAAATGAAATTAATGAACAGTTTTTAACTTGAGCAAAATTAATGTGATTATGGATGTGTCCTAAACATTTTCACTCTGACTGCATTTTTGACGGATATTTTTCATATACAGCATCATTTCATTTAGCTTTCATAATGTGTCTATGAGCTAAGTGGTTATTTTTAATTTGGTTTTATGTACGAGGAAACTAACGCTCACAGATATGAAGCTATTTATCCAAGATCACCAGCAGGTAAACAGAAGCAGGTTCAAGATGGAGAAACTCTGATCTCATGCTTCAACCTCCATCTTGGATCATTTCCAAGAAATAAGAATGCAAACAGTGGGCTCTGACATTTTAGAATTTGTTTATTTTGCCACAAAGAAATTACGAGGTACAGTATTATGCAAAGCTGCAGTATAAATATTAGTAGGTTCTGTGTATAATTGACTTTCCCATTCTTCGCCTGTGTAGGGCACCTTGAGATGCGTTTCTGTCACTGTCACACTTGGTTGGTGAGAAGCCCCC